GGGACCACGGCTCTCACCAAGGCAAACGCGATGGAGTTATAATAATAAGGAGCATTCCACGTCATGAAATCCCTCAGGAAATGTGAGGCAGTCCGCCCAACGTCTCATGGACCCAACCTACACCTGTTCTGCCCACGCTGCCACTTACACCAGGATTAGACGACAAGACGGCCCTCAACAGCCGCTTCGGCTGGCTATTTGATGGTATAGACTACGACGCTGGAACTCTTGATGTGTCTCATATATATGGAGTGTTTTGAGTGATGCAGAGCAATGGCATGTCTTCAGGCATGGAACCGGCTAGGTGTTCTATGTGGCTTGCTCACTCATGAACCTACAACTCCATCTAGCTAGTAAGCTCTCAACTGTGGAAGGTGTAGCGCCTCAGGGAGATTCACGCAGTGCGCGAGTTTGGCCGAAAAGCAAGCCAGCCGATTGTCGGTTCTCGTATTGTGGATATCAACGATTGGTGGCTATTTTACGGAGTTGCTTCTCATTGATGTGTATCGGAGTAGCATTGGTGTTTGCTCTGCAGCTCTGGTTTATTGATTGAGGCTGACAGGGGTAAATGTGGTGACGCCTGGTCGGCAGACCGTACGCTAGTTAGCCTCGTGGCTTTGTTGATCCCTGATAGGGCCGACTCTATTGAATGATGGCACATGGCCAAGATACATCTTATGAGATACGAATACATAACACACCAGACACCACCAGTCGGGTCCTTGATACAGTGTGCGGCGTGACCCAAGGGCAAGACGCTGCAGGAGCTATGTTTAGCACAGCAAAATACATCAAGAACGAGCACACTTAGACGCAAGTCATGCCGGTGACGTTACTCGAACGCGGTCTCAACAGGTAGTACCAACCACCGGCGACATCCCGTTTCGCAGCCGGCCGTCAGCCCCAGGTAGAAGGATGGAGCACAGGCGCGGCAGTAGAGTAGCCGTCGGATCAAAGGCCCAAAAAGGACGGTCATTTAAATAAGAGACCAGTCGGAGACGTCGGTGTCAGGGAGCCTCTTGGCCCACCTGCCGAATCAGTCAAAGGTTTGATGATGGTTACCTGGTGGCAAAAGCCGCAACAGCCCCTTTGGTGGACGGCAATAGAGGCCATATGCCGATTGCTGGACCGGGGGTCCGGTCAGCGTCCGGGGAGGGTTGCAGTCCGTCATGTCGCAGCATTGGGGGCAGACAGCTCAGCCCCGTTCCAGGCGTTGTCGGGGCTCGTGGCAAGATTCAGCCTGGTGGTTGAAACCTTGACACATGTCTGTACTCCGTAGGGCGGCCGGGGCGGAAGGTTCATGATTGGTCAGCGTCGTCGGGTGGCGTGGAGCCCCATGAGACGGGAGGGTTGATAAATCAAATTAAGGCTCAGTCTGGTGGAGTTGGACCTTCCAAACGCACTAATTTCTTGCCTTTTACCAGAGATTACCGTGGAATGGCCAAACACACTCCGTTGCAATAATCTTTGGAACCTTCAGGATTCGATTCCCATCGATATTCTTTTTACTTTTTTTTTTTTTTCCCGCCTCTTCATTTAATAGTTATAGGCTGCGTGGGGATGCGATACATTTTACTTTTTTAAAACGAAAAAATTCTTGAGTGCATTACGATGCCATCATAATTTTCATTCAATCAACTTGTGCGGCTATGTTTCATTGTGTCGAAGCTCCTGACTGCCACAGCGATGAAATACTGCATACCGAGCATCTGAGGGCGGGTAAATCTTAACGCACCACGTTTGTCAATTTCTTTTCCACATTTTTCTTCTAACTTGTCATCTGATATTTCCAAGCTCAGCCTCAACTGTGATGTTGGAAGACGTCAAGTTATAATGTTGCGCCGTCGTGCCCAACAGGGTAGGCAGATTGTGAGGGCTACTTCGGTCAGGCTGCTTTGGCGCATTTGGCAGGGTGCATTTTGGGAGATTCAAGTCCAAAGTATGATTCATCATGCCAAATAAGTTGCACTGGAATGAACCGGTGGTTGGAATGTCTTTCAGCTTTCCCACCCGTGAGAACCAGTCCCAAAAGCACCAGACACGTCTAACCCTAGTGCGACGCAGCAATGAGGCGACGCGCTTTAAACACTTCAAATGTTTAGCAAGCACAAACGCGCATCGCCAACTAAGTCGGCGAATATAAAAGTTTTAAATTCGCGGCCAGTGACGGGTCATTTATTGGGCCAACGTCACAGATCATGCTTCGTAAATGTCTTGCAAGTATGGGCTTTGCATTCGCACCTCCGTCATCGGCACATGTACACATGGGCCACTTATGGACTGAGGTGGGATGGCGGGGGTACCTCCAATGTTGGTCCAAGGTCATCGTCAACGGTGCCTGATCTTTCTCCAGACGCCACCATCTGAAGCACGCTCAGTTCCCCAACGCCAGCCATGTCTGCCGCGGATGCCAAAGTTCTATCCACGGGCCCTCTGGTACGGCAGTGACCCTGAAACGACGTCCAATTTGTAAACGCCGACTCACCAGTGCGCCCGCAGCCCGACAACGAGGCACGATGGATCAAGTTGATCAAGTACGAAAAAATGTCATGCCCAATTCAGCCATTCACGCAAGTCCGGCTAACCTGTTTCCTACGCAGAATCAACTACCAAGATGCCAACGGCACCCCGCGGACGTGGGAATCCGCCGAGCGAAGCACGCGCCCTGCCAACACGGATATCGACGGCGTCGGCATAGTGGCCATCCTCGACAAACCTTCCGGCAAAGAAATCATTCTCCAGAAACAGTACCGCCCTCCCATAGGCATGGTCACCGTCGAGGTGCCCGCCGGCCTCGTTGACGCGGGCGAGTCGGCGGAACAGGCTGCTGTGCGGGAACTGCGCGAAGAAACGGGCTACGTCGGCGTGCCCACGGAGACGTCGCCCGTCATGTACAACGACCCGGGCTTCTGCAATACCAACCTGCGCATGGTCCACATGAGCGTGGACATGAGCCTGGCGGAGAACCAGAACCCCAAGCCGCAGCTGGAGGACGACGAGTTCATCGAGGTGTTTACCGTCAGGCTGGCCGACTTGTGGGACGAATGCAAGAAGCTGGAAGGGCAGGGGTGCGCGATTGACGCGCGCGTCGGCACCCTGGCGGAGGGAATCTTGCTGGCCAAGAAGTTGGCGCTGTGAACATGACGATTGGGCCTCGCATCCCGTTAGACTCGGTAGACTTGTGTGTGAGATGACGGAACTACATTATAGAGAGACGTGACTAGTTTTCCTGCTCCTGCCTTGTGTGCTTCAGCTTCTTCTCTCGCCGCAGTGCCTCCCATAGAGCCAGCGCACCCAGACACTTTGCATCCCGGGCGCCTTCCATCCAGAGATTCTTCATGGGGACAAGCTTCAGCGTGATCTTCTCCCCCTCTGACCGCAGCCCCGTCAGCCGTCCGTTCCACTCGCTCAGCTGCGATCGGGGAATCCTCCGCTCGCAGCTGAATATCGTAATGTGCTCGTCGCAGCCGCCCGCGCTGGGGAACATGGCTGTGGGAAGACCTTCGCCGTCGTCCTCCTCCCTATGGCCTGCAGCCTCGGCCGCCAGGTCGTTGAGGGACACTAGTTCGTCCTCGTGGATGGTGATGCCCAGTTCTTCCTCAATCTCCTTTGCCGCGGCGCCCCTGAAGCTCCCCGCGTCGTCGACCATGCCGGCGGGGAGCTCGACGAAGCTCAAGCTGCCGGCTGGCACGCGCGGCTGCACCGTGAGCACGACGTAGCGCTCGTCCGCGTTGTCCGGCGCGTCGTCCGGTATGAGCATCACCAGCATGGCGACGCTGGGCCCGCGGAGGAACGCGCTGGCCGGCAGCGCCTCGCCTGCAGAGTTGGACACCGACGCGAGTACCTTGATGAAACCGATGCGTTCATGGCCCCAGAGATCAAAGGACTGGACGGTGATGGAGCGCAGGCTGTAGGGGTCCTTGTGGAAGGGGTGGCCAGGGGCGGATTGCCGGGTGAGCGACTTGTCGAGCGTCGTGGTCCATTGCTGCCAGAGTGTCAGCGACTGCTCCTTGTAGAGTTTGCCGTGCGATGGATTTGGAAAGGGGGGGGGGGCCTCACCTGAAATGGTCGGAAGGACAGCAACTGCTTCTCGCTCAAGCCTTCGGGCAGGTGAACGGGCACGTTGTTAAGGACGCGGATCGTAGACATGCTCTTGGCTTGCGGGGAGCCGACGGATCTTGCGGGTGGTGCTTTTGAGGCTCGATGGAGACGCCAGTGTTTTCTGAGTGCAATAGTGGTGGTGCTGCAGCTTTTCATCATCAAGAGGTGAGAGTGAAGTGAGAGTGAAGTGAGATTGTGAATTGCGACGTTGGCTGCGCTCCACATGGATCATGGATGGACCAGACTGTATATGTCATCGATGCTGGCATGCGCTCGAGGACAACAAAGAAAACATTCAAGGGACACGCACAGTATACGCAAAGCACACATGAAGCACAGATGCTGCGCACACTGAATTACTAGGAGATGTGTCATTTTGTGCAGGTTCATTCATGTCAAACAGGTGATTTGTGCAGCTGTGGTTCATTGCCCACATCGCAGACCTGGTTGTTTCGAGGTCTTTCAACCACTCTGCAAAAGTGGACGTCTAAGTTTGGTAGATGTTCTTTTTCCCCTTACAACACCTCCCCTCAGGCTAGCATCTTTGGCGATACTAGACTGAAATAAATTATTGACCGACCCTAGCATTTTTAGCTTGAAGCCTACGTTGGCTTTGCCGTGGCATTCATTCTTGTTTCACCAATTTCGCGGTGAAGAGGCTATCCTTTTTGGGACCAAGTCGGCATGCATATTTCATCTCTTGGGGTTACTGACTATCCCTGCCCTTTTATTTAAACATGTGCATGAATCAATGGCTTTTTTATTCAACCTACTTGCAAGAGGGGTGTGAAAATGGGAACCTTGACCAGTACGCGCGCGGTGTGATTGTCTGGGCAACCGCGGTCAACGTCACCTTCCCCGACCGCCTGCATTGTCGACTCTTCATATAAACCAGCAGGATGCCTTCGCTAGCCAGCCACGCGACCTCCCAAAACTCGGACCTCGAGACAGAAGAGACTTCGAAAATTAATCTGTGTCAACCATGTCCAGAAGAAACCCGCAAACGCAAAGCCTTCGTCTCCCAGTTCCTGAAGGCCAACTTTGCCCCCCTCGCCAAGTCAAACCGATCATACATCGACACAGGTGCGCTCGAGCATATGGCCATGAAGTGCCTACACGCTGACTTCAACACCGGAAGACTCAGCAATGGCGTTGCGAAATTTATCGATCCGATTCCCCCGAGCAAGATTGGTGAATGGCTGGCTGTTACGAAGCCGTGGCTAGGGCGAGACGGCTTCTTCCATGACCAAGAGGATGACGGCGACGATGAGGACAATCCACTGGAAAACCTGGGCCCCGCCAGCCCCCAATGGGAAGCTGCCAGTTTATACCGATTGATGAATTTCTATCTCGTCCACGATGGGCAATGGAACCCAGGTATCCTGCAGACTCAAACACTGTGGAGGAAATACCCGTATGGCTGATACTTTGCTTGTTTCGTCTTTAGGCCCGGGCTGATGGAAATACATGTTGCAGTATTCCACGTGGCAGGACGCTTTGCCAGCTTTCTCATACACGAAGCCCTCGAAATTGGCGCGTCTGGTCCATCTTTCGTCGGTTCCAATACTACGAGGACATAATCTCTGAAATGGGCGAATCCCCTCTAGACCCAGAAAAGCCACATGTCATGGCTTTTCTAGCAGACGGCGCGCTTATCAGAGAAGATGTGCTTTCGACCGGCGAGTTGACTTGCATTACGTATTTAGTTGCAGATGGCGCTCTGAAATATAAGCACCATCGCTTTATACCGGTAACGTGATTCCTGCCTAAGTGTCAATTCTGGCTAACAAAAACATAAACAATAGGCGACGCTGATATCCGCGTCACTTCGGACTGTCCGAATCGTGCAGGGTGTTCTTGATTGCCAGAAAGGGACCCTCGAAATACCCAAGTCGCAACCTGTTACTTTTTCCGATAGCAGGATAGCCAATTGGGTTAAATGGTTGACTTTACTGGGATGGATGATTGGGAACCCTGTGGGGCAGGCGAAATAATATATATATTGATATATTTATTTGCGCTTGCACAAACCTCTTTGAGGCCGACGGTCTTAAGTCGAGCGACAACCCGCTCATTCTGCACCTTGGATCCGGAGACAGCGTCCGTTGCCTTATCGTGTATTCCCTAGCTTGCCTCGTTGTGCTGCTAACCAGCCATCGCTCCAGGTCATTCCGGTCGAACTTGCGTCTCAGGGCTACAAACGACAGCTCTGCATCGACTTCTCTCCCACCGTCGTCGACCTCATGACCGAACGCCACGCCGAGGTAAAAGGATTAGAATGGAAGCTTATGAACGTACGTGACATGGCCGGCGTTGCTGACAAATCTGTCGACTTTGCCTTCGACAAGGGGACATTGGATGCCATGATACACGGTAGCCCTTGGAACCCTCCAGAAACAGTCAAGGAGAATTCTAGCGGATACCCGACCGAAGCATGCTTTGCAATGAATGCCACGGAGTCTTTTTTTCCTGACCAATCCCCAAGATTCATCGAGTACTGAAAGACGCCGCCGTCTTTCTGTATGTCACTTTCAGACAACCACATTTCATGAAACCGCTTTTAAACCCAGGGGGTGTATGGGATATGAATATACAGGTCCTCAACGATTCTGGCTCCTTTGATTACTACTGATATATGCTTCACAAGGAAGGGACACGGTAGACCAAACGCCTTAGGTAAATGGCATTGTCCGATATTAGAATAAAAGAATGCATGGTTAATAGTAGGATACTTATTCCCCCCTTTCGTGGAGGCTGAAAGCGTGCTCTCATATGAGAAATGACACGCCCTGACTGGTTGTTATACAGTTATGAACCGTGCATAACGCATCACCAAACATAAACCACCTATTAGAACAAGTACTGAACTGACACGGCAAGTGGCAGCAGACTACATAGTTCCTTAAGCATCTTTTCTTGGTCCTCGACCCTCTCCATGGTATTGGCGGGCTTGGTCAGAAAGGCTTCCCATCCGTTTGGGTAACCCCAACTGCGCAGGTCACGTCTGCTGATCCCTCAACGAGAACCCTACATAGCGCTGTGCTGTCTCCTCGAATGGCGGTGCGAAGCGGCGAGTATCTGGCGTCGTCGTTTCAGCCGGCGGCGTCAGCATTGCCTCGACTCAAGAGGAGGCAGACGAGCTTCGCCATCTCGGCCTCGCCCCCGGGGCTCCTGTATATGAGATCGACCAGAGCGGTGTAGTGTGCATGGTTCCGAAGGTGAACCCTTTGGGCCTCCGCTGGATGGAGATTCAGAAAACTTTAGCGTTACCGCCCCTCGCGGCAAGGTGGAAGACCGTGTTGCCAGCTTGGCTTGTATATAGTAGGGGCGGCTCGATGTCGGTCTGCTGGCACAGAAAGCGAACAATATCGGCGTGACCCTTATAGGCTGCCTCGCCAATACATTGGTGGGTGCCCAAGAGCTGGTTTCCGTAGCTCAAGTTCCGATGCACCGCTAGGATTGATCTTCGCAGATCTCCATCTCTGTCGGCCGCAACAAAGAGTGTTTTAACCAGCACGAGGCATCCACTGCGAGCTGCGAGGCACAAGATGTCGTTGCCGTGGTCTTAGAGGTCCTCGCGCAGCTCTCGGATCAGGAAATCGAACACATCTCCATATTCCCTTAGCGCGTTGCCTTGTGTTTCGATCGACCAAGAGCATCTGCGTACCACCTCGTAGAAACATGCAGTGCAGCACAAGCTTAACCGGAGGGCCTTGTGCCCGAGGAGGTCTTTGATGGTCGAGATGTGATCTCGCGTGACAAGATGTGTAATGGTAGCCCGTGCCGAGTCTTTGGCAAAGTCAGGGCCGTGGAGGTCAAGCCTGAGCAGGTCGGCCAGGGATGCTGCCGGGCCAGACATCGCGGTAACGACCAGAGCATCAAGATTTGGCATAGCATCGGGGAAGTCGTATTCGGCAATATAAGAACAGTTCGGGCGTCGCTGCTGTTCCACCCAGTTCTCGAGCCGTCGAGGATCCTTTCGGCTAGAGCAATCAAGTCTAGAGGATCTGGGCGCCGTTCCGACAACACGTTGGAGAAGTGACATGTCCAGTACGAGGCAGCACAGGCTAAAAGGTTCCCAAACCCGATCTCAAACGGATTACAGTCTTGACTCGGCTTTGAGCCAGTCAATGCGGAGGCCGTCAGACCTTGGTCGTCTTCGTTGAACACACTTCCAATGGTGAAAAGGTCAGTGTCGTCAGAACTGGTCCTAAAACCTGATGTGAGGCTCGCCTTCTCATATTCCTCAAAGATAAGGGATCTGATACAACCTCGTAATAGAAATCCGTTCAGCTCCATCATGTGCTGCCCGCTTTGCTGTCGCCTGCTCGGCTGCTCTTCAGAGCACCAACTCAACGGCGGAGCCTGTGATATGAGCTCTTTGCTACCTCCCACGTTTGTGGCGCTGACAAAAGGCCGCGCGAGGTCAAGCAAACCCACGCTATGAGAAAGTTCTTCTAGCTCAGACAGTGTCGTAATGCTACTGTCTCGAGGGCCCGTTGGAGAAGTTCTTGTTGTTTGCAATGTCCGAGCAGGTCTTGTCGAATAGCTTTGAGTACGACTATGCTAGAGCCTTGGAAGAAGAAAGCTGTTCTAGAACGCCCTCCAGGCGTATATAGTTTTTAATACAAACATGAGCCTTCTGATATATTCAACACACTAGTAAAGATAGTAAGTTATTATTATACGGGCTTGAAATATTTAGAAGCTAGTTAAAAAGGAATACTAATATTATATATTATACACTCCTTATTATAAAGAGTTATTTTAATATATAAAGGTATTATTTCGAGTAAAGCTTAATAAAATTATACTATATGCCTAGTAGTACTTAAACTAGAAAATTATTATATCTGGTACTATATTAAATATTATAAATGTATATTTTGTTATGCGTTAGAAGCTGTGAGTGATAGGAAAGTAAAGCAGCTAAAAGATAAACACTATCTGGTGGTTTTACCTTACTCCAAGAAACCCAAACGAGCTGTCGTTGCACATTCCGAAGACGAGGAGTAGAGCTGGTGTCCCGCCCGTTTCGTCCTACCGCTTCTTATAGCTCGTCTTCGCGTTTCAAGATACTTCCAGGAGCCGGTAACAGGTCTCTATTCCTGAGCCACATTTCCTGTTTATACTATTTTGGAAGTAGTTCTCGTTTCGTGCGATTTCTATTCTGAGTCTAATTTAGGCCCGCAAATTAGGTTTTGTTTTTCTCCGCGCCTGGTTCCTGTGGGAATGCCGATACCTTGTTACTGTCAAAGCTTTTACACGGATATTTTGACAAGGGCCAAAGGCTTGGAGCTTTATGGCTTAACGTATTTAATAATAATTTTTAATGTTTAAGGTCCTTGGCTTCCCTTTAGGTCTCGTGGTCGTAGCCCTTGGGTAAGCGTGACATATATTGAAGATTAACCTTAGTTCTCCCCGGTAGAAACTCGTAACGAATGGAGAAACCAAGTAAAGCTACGCCTTTTGGGCGGGCTATTCTGCGAGATCTTACGTCTAGTCTGCTATGTTAATAGTAATGTAGACCCCTACCCGAATGTACAGAGAGAGTTGGGACCAAGAACAGCGAGCGATGGATTTGCTACGCTTAGGGAGTCATCCAACTATGTTCATCTCGTATGCTTCACTGTAGTCTTGGAATAGGAAGGGAATTTTAGGTCAAATTATTTACCATATAGGCGATGGCATCGATCGACGGCGTTGTAAAGAGGTGTCTTGCTGGGTCTATACAGGACGTTATGTTAAGAGTTATCAAGGCACGCATATAATCAGGGAAATCGGCGAAATTCGGTCCTTTATAGTATCTTTTCGCTTCGTCTTATCGATCCATGGCCCAAGGGCCGGGTACAATAGCCGTAGTGACGGTCGTGGTGCGTGTCGATAGGAAAGTCATCGTATCCTTCTCGTATCTATAGTCACCGACCGGTTAAAAGATTTCATGGTACATTTGACTTGCATCTGATAATTGATTGGTCAAAATACGAGGGGAGGCAAAAAGTAGATGGCCAGGTCATGTACCTGGCTATCGCGTTCTTTACTGTAGTATACTACAGCGTGTTTGTCTGTGAGCAAACATAATTTGTGGCAGACTGTATCCTTGAGAACCGAGGAAGGTGGGAACGGTCTGGCGCTTGGGTAAAACAAAACAGGATACCTATGTGTCACGGATGAATGAGACTATTGAACGGGTTTTAATTGGTTCCGCCAGATAGGACTACGATCTGCAATACAGGTGGATTTGCAATTAAGGTATAGGGTAGCAAAAGATGATATTATTTTCAGCTTGTTTGTTCTCCGCGGTTTTGTATATTTCGGCGGACAGCAAATTCACGCAAAAGATAAATACAGTCGGGCAGGTAATGAGCTCTGTATTCTCTCATAGTTTTGATAAGAAAGAATGGCTATTGGTTTGAAAGTACATGATTTTTCTGTAATAAAGTGGTTTGTGATGCGATTGTATGCGGCATCAATTCCTCATACTTTTTCTGATAAACGCAAAGCACGAGTGAGACCCTTGGATCACATTAAAAAAAAATGAGTAAACAATGTATTCTCATCATCAATGGATCTTGGCAAAATTAGATTTCCTAGCATTCCCGCTAATCATTCTTCGATTGGCGCACTAGTAGATTCTAGGGACGATTGTCTCAGACTCGGCAGGGTCGGCGCCTTCCGGCTCTGCAAGACTAGTATTGGCTCGGTATTGTCCATGTGAGCATGCTGAGAAGAGGCAATGCATTCCTTAGTGCTGAGTATTGCTGCAGTGGATGCAAGTTACATGGAGGCTCACGTCTTGCCCCTAGCCTTGGCGGCAAAGAGCAGTTCTCGCCACTCCTTGCTGCGACTAGCTTCCAAGATGCATCCCTTCAATGACGAGCGGACTGACACTAGGCGTTGAAAACAGCAACGGGAATGCGGATAAGATTCGAGTCTCAGGGCGCTGCACATGCTCTATCAAACATCGCCCCAACGCTAATATAGTTGCTGTTTGGTTTATGCAGGGGAATTTTCTCTGAATGCCCTTTTCGCGAATTAGCATGGGAAACAAAACACTGGAATTGCGGGTTGGAAAATTTGTATTTCCGCCAACGGCGCTGGTGGACGTTGTAGCATGATCGGCAGCAACATTGAAGTCTAAACGGTAGGGTTGCACGCCGGCGGTCAAATGCTCAGAGCTTGCCGTAGTGCGTCTGCTCGTATTCACAAGCCCTCATTCTCACGGTACAGACGGCATTGCGACAGCGGCGGCACGAGGTCATCAGTGGTGTCTTATTGGCGCGGTCAGGCAGACGTCACGGATTCGTAGCCGGGGTCGCGGTGGTTTAGCTACACGATTTCCCATTCCGGCCGGTTGGACAGCAAACGCATTCAGGTCAACGGGGGCAAATGCAATGACATCGATGCTACTAACTAGGTAGTTAGTACCTGTCCTAATGTCGGCGCCAAAGTCTATTCGCGCCACAAACGATTAATCACCATGGAGGGTCGAGGTAGACCCCTTTTGTCCGCCCTGCGGTTGTAATTTTTTTGTTTGTCATTGTGACATATTATTTTCTTTTCCGTGTACATGCTACTAGTTAGGCCGGCCTAGCTAGTACCGAGCGTCTCCCAGTCCGTCAGGAACGAGGGAGTCGAGCCGAGTGAGACAGACTCCTCTGCCGATCTCTCTCGATGCCCCACGTGAAGGCATCAAATGAACCAGTGACATTCCACCTTGGATTCCCAAAGGGCAGCCGGCGCGGCGTTTGACTTGGCCTACTCTGCCCGACACATACCGGCAATGGTTTGATGTCAAAACAAAGTTTCACACGTAGAGCGTTGCCCTACTCTGGCCGTGGGGTCGACCAAGACGACTCCTGGCGCGACTACGACTGTTCGCGGAGCTTCCATCCCGCCCTTGCTCCAGAGGAATGCAGACAAATCACGATGGGAATGTCTGACAGAGCCACCGACGTTTCGGTCCGATGCTCTGCCTGTGTGTTTGCCCTTGGTTCGTCTCGTTAGGGCTCGCAAGGGGCGGCCAAGGGGCATGGGCATGCGTGAGATGGATGGGCCATGGTGGCGAGATGCTGCCTGCATTTGTGGCCGCGAGGCACGAAAGCGATGGGCCGAAAGCCTTGGATCAGGGCAAAAAACGTCGTCGGACGAAATCTATAAAGTGCTTGCCTTCCCGCCGTCCAATCCATCATCTCACTCTCACTCACAACAGCAACATTCTCTCAGCTTTCAAACATCTCCCCCATCTAATTACTTAATTACCTTTTTGGTTCTACCAAGCTTACTTTCACTCAAACAACTTTCACTTTCAACAACATTTTCAAAATGTCTCTCTTCAAGATCCTCGTTGCTGCTGCCACCGTTGCCACCGCCCTGGCTGCTCCCCATGAGCACAAGAAGCCTCACCCTTCTTACGGTGATGCCAACGCCCAGTGCGGTAACCACCAGAAGCTCTCTTGCTGCAACCGCGGCGACAGCGGCGGTGTCCTCGACGGCCTTCTGGGTGGCAACTGCCAACCTATCAACATTCTTGGTGAGTCGGACCACGAGCACGCAACAGTCTGCCTGTTGACTAACACGATGATACAGCTCTGCTCCCCATCCAGAACCAGTGCACCAACCAGGTTGCCTGCTGCACTGGAAACTCCAACGTAAGTCGGCTACCAGATTCGGTATACAGTCACAGCTTCTAACCTCCTCTACAGGGTCTCATCAACATCCCCTGCACCAACGTCAACCTTTAAATGCAACCCATGGTTGTACAGAAAAGGCGCCATACGCATCGGATGGGCAACGGGGAGATGTAGCCATCTTAATATTGGCCCTTTTCGGCAGTGGAATTGTTGGAGAAGCTAGTCAGGTGGTTTGGTTCGCATAAAACCTTCACGACGGTGCGCTGCAATAGTTTGATAGAAAATCCGGGAAGCTACTAGTGTTCACAAGTCAATACATCTCTAGTTTTCCCAATCCTTATTTGCCATGCTTTCGTGACCTCGACTCTCTTTTCCAGTATTAAAAATCGACTTGGATTAACCAGCAGATGACAGCAAAGTATTTGCTCGCCAAGTCTCCTCACTTCCTGTGGAATGCCTGCCATTTGGGGCAGCGCTGTTTTCCCATCTATCCAAGCCGGCGAATCATTACAAGAGTCAAAATCCAGTGATTCTCTTGGCAGAGCCATTATCAGCCACATGTCTCATATCAAATCACCTGCCCGTTCGCGACGTCGTCTGGCAAACACTCGTGGGCTTTTTCATGGTGCCATGCGTGTTTTCCTGTGTCGACGAGTTCAATCACAATGGCTGGCCATCTATCCAATCTAAACACGCATCTGTAGCCAGAGCGATTATGCATGCCCTGCTTCTGACCGGCGGCTACCAAGGACGATGAGGACTAGCTTACGGAGTAGAGCTAACAGATATCAGATGGCCTCGTCGGCCGAAGCGGAAGCCCGTGCATGATTCTCCACAGCCATCAAATGTCAGATTACCCCGTCTCGGTCCACCCTATGTAGGGCGGGGTTCCGGAAATTGGCGTCATGGAAGAAGCCCTATTTCCGTTTGCTACAAGAGATTGGTGTTGGTGCCGTCGTGGTCCAATCAAGCGGTCACACTGGATGTGCATGGTTGATGACACTTTTCAATTCAAACAAGGCACATGTATTTTAGTATATCTAAATATGTTTTTCTTCTCTTGTTTTTTACAAAAGCTACGACGCATAGCATCTTGGTATCTGAATCTCGAGTCTTGATATACTACGCCAGAGTCGAGGTGTAATGTAATAACTACATTAGGAAATTAGTGGGGACAGAGGCACGAACAGCTACACGCTGCTCCAATTCTCAACACGATTCCACACAAGCGATGTCACTTCAACATCCACTCCTTATTTTAATATCCACCCGTGGCAAATCAAGGGCAGGTACTCCCTACAGCCATTATAAAATAGTAATCGCCGGACAAGGCTAGGGCCTCGAAAGTCTCGGATTTCCATCGCTTCAAGTGCGCCAAGGTGCAGGCCAAGTTGACCAAGAGATAAAGGTGTATCTATTATGAATCATGATACAAGAACTGCTAGCCGTCCCAACTTCCCAAGTACACCAACCAGCAGCTTTCTAAACCAAAAAAAAAGGTGGAAATAGTATGTGAACAAGGGCACTGGACTAGATACAAGAGATCAATTGCACCTTACCGTACTCAAGAGGTACCCGCGTTATTCCAAATCTCTTCCAGAAGGCCACTGCTCCCTTCCCAACTCTGCTACATGCTCTACACACATAACTTGCAACATTGAATAGTATGCCAGTACTGGGCCTATCAATGGCTTCCTTGCCATGCTGCAAGTGCATCAGTTCCTCCAGCGCATCCGTCAATTGTCGGAGCCACTGTTAGATCCATACTCATCGTAGCATACTACATGTGATTATCCTACATGTACGGTAAAAATATGCTCCCCGTCTGGGATGCCGCCCGTTCCGTGACCACACTGCCACGGAGGATGTACACTCATCGGATAATGACGAACCCGCGACACCTAGCCTCAAATACAAATGGTGTAAACAATCTAGCCAGATGCAAATAATTACACTACGGCGTGTCTCGGCAGCAAGGCGCTTGCGTGGTCCACCTCCTCAGCCAAGATTACCCTTGTACAATAATGCCCTTGCGTCTTCTTTCCTCAATCTACTTACCAATGCTACGACATCAAGACCAAATATGCCAGGTGCACAGCGACTGTCTTGAAAGCTGAAGCGCAGTGGCAGAGGGCCTTAAGACCAGAATCTCGAGTGCCTAGTCAAGACATCACGCACCAGGTTCAGCACAGATGTTGAACAGAAATCCCAGTACAGCATCGTTACCAGTATCCCTCATTGTAGTTTCCAAACGGGAATCACGGGCATCACCTGTATAGCTTGGCAGCCATCCCACAATGCGTACCTCTGTTATCACATACTCATACCATCTTCAAGTAATACAAGGTAATTGTATAAAAAGCCCATCAATGATGATAAATATCCTTCCCTGCCAAATTTCCCATCAGGCACCTGATATCACAACAAACCATCTTGCCCCCGCACACCATAAAGCACCTCGACTCTCCTACGTCGAAGCAAAAAATACAAACTATTACTCCCACCTGTACACGCCATCATTATACGCCACCTTTCTCCGACGTTGACTTGCCGGTTCTACCATCGCCCGCCTCCTAGGCATCATGCGCTCCATCAGTCGCCTCCGCTGTGCCTCCTCCTCCGTGCCTTGCCCCCCGAGAGGCCTATGCCTATACCAGTTCGCTTGAGGCGGAACCACTACGGATCCTGCCGCCATCTCTCGGTTCGCGCCATGTCCCTGGTCCCGGAGAGTTGCGCTCCCCTCACCCATGTCCGTCGTCCGCGTGTGCGTCACCTCCGCAAGTCTCCTCCGCCGGCTGTTCTTCTCCCCCCGAGGCTCCTGGACTCTGTAAACGTCCCGGTTACGACTGCCTGCGTCTCCGTGGCCTGGCAGAGGTGCGCTGCCAGTAGCCACAGGCCGTTCACGAAGCCGGGTCTGCCTCGCTGCGGCAGTGGCATGGCGTTTTTGACCATCAACACATACACCATTGATGTATACGGCAGACCCGCGAGAGCGAGACTTTCGGGGCAGGCTACTGCTCCGCGGCAAGGAGAGGTCGGACACATCGGCGTCGAAGCCTGCGGAAGACATGCTCTGTGCCGACGGGACTGAGCAAGGCATCGGACCAGGCGTTACCGGGTAGAAAGGCCGGTCGGGCGTAGGCGGCGCAGAATAATGAGCCGGGAGAGGCGGCGGAGGCGGAGCCGTTCCCGGCGGGCATACGCCATAAGGGATGTAAAGCGGCGGGTGCTGAAAGATGACGTTCCTGCGGCAGGGCAAGCCGTGGCGGGATTGGGGACAGAGAGATGGCCTGGCTATGGTCTCTGAGTGGCCATCCGGGTATACGTAGGTGAACATGTCTGTGGTGCACCCGCAGTGTTTGTTCTTGTGGCCCGCACCAGCGCGAGCAAAAGTGTTGGAGGAGACGAGGCCCGTATCAGCTCGCTTTGAGCGATGCTTCGACCCTCCTGCCGGGACTGAGGCTTCCGATTCAGAAAGTTCTGATCTCATCGGCTCCGTATCCGAAGAATCTGCGAGCTCATTGCTCGGAGTACTTGGAGCCGGCGGCGGAGCCAGCTCGGCATCAACGACTTGGGCATTGGGCCGTGGTGGCACTTCGTATTGACGCAGGAGCCGTACCCTTTGGAAGTCTCCCGGTTCGACGGGTATGCTCGTCACGGCCGTCACTTCTCCTCCAGCAAGCGTCTCGGAAGAAGCGCCGTCGCCTTCCTCAGTGGTAGAGGCCAGACCACACGCCTTGACAACCTGCTTCTGCATACGGAACCACATGCCGCAGTCGTCGATTTGGCTAGTGCCCATGAGTGTATGCTCTCAAAGTGCCCCAGTGATGGTAAACATGCACGTACCATTGAACATTTACATCTTCCGGTGCGTCTGTCACCGTGTGACAACGAGGACAAGCCCCCACCACGACTTCTGTGCCGTAAAAAATCATGCTCATATTGATCTTCATGCCTCTTCTCAAGCTGCGGCGTAACGGCAAGGACGTGTTGAGATCTCGACCAGTCGTGCTCTCTTCCAGAGCGTAGTCCTGCCTTTGAACCATGTCATGGCCCTTGTGGCCTTTGAAGTAGCCGGCAAGCAGGCCATTCAGCACCTAGATCATGATCAGTTAGCCGGTAAAGAAGAACACACCATCCATCTGGTTCACTTGGCTCACCTCCCACTCCAGAGTATCTATCCACTGAGCTCGGATCTCAAGCGATCGTCCCAAGGCGTCCTCCAGAATGACGGGCACCCCCCTAGTGGGATCAAGCGGGCGGATGAATATGGAATTGGAGGCTACGACCTGCAAGTCAATGACATTCTGGGACACCTGTGCCAGAAGCTTCTTGACCTCGATAATGCCACGAAACGCATCCCTAGCCACCGCCAGAATAGCGCGGCCCCCCTTCTCCTGCACGTCGAGCTGGCGACAGACCTCGCCAAGCTTCTGTATCTGCTTGTGTCCCTGGTCCTCATTAGCAGCGCGATGCTTCTTCAGAAACGCGAGTATTTCCCCCTGGCCGCTTCGCGCCTGTGACGCCAGCCGCTGAACCTCATCGATCCGCGCCAACACGGTGGCGTTGTCGACTCGAGCGGATTTCCTTTCACGGCAGCCGTGTCAACACTCTTGCCAAGACGAAACGGAACGGTACGGTACATATGTACGGGGAAGGGATGCTCACTCCGCAGCCAGGCCCGTCAGCAGCGACAGCCTCTGCACCCCCCTCGTGCAACTTCTCCCGCAGCTTTTCAAGCCTCTGCGTCTCTCTCACGCTCCACTCGATGCGCTTGACTATATCCCTGATCTTCTTCCCGGATCCTTCTGCGCCGAGACTGCCCCCGTAGCGCGAGCGCAGGTGTTGGAGTATGTCTTGGATGAGGCTCGCACACTCGTCGACGACCGACTTGGACACATCGTCGAGGACTTGGAGACACGGCGAGAGCTCGTGCTGCTGGTACGTGGCCACGACCTACGGCGCATACACGGTGAGCAAAAAGGGAGCTCAGCCCTGCCCGGACAAAGGGGGCCAACCTGCCTGCATCAACACCCGCACCAGGACGTCGAGGTCGTGCCGGAGATGCTGGTATTCCCGGGTGCTTGCGCCGCCGGCGGCCCCGCATCCCACGCCGACTGCGCGGCCGAGCTGGATGGCGAGCTGGCAGAGCTGGATGATGTCGCCGAGGCTGCCGAATGTCAGAGCCACTTCCATGGAGAGGGAGAGGGAGAGGGAGCCGCGGCGGTGCACAGTCCGTAGATGGCGTTGGCATTGTCGAGCGTCTCAACATGCGCGGGAAGAGGAAGAGGGACGAGGCACGGTTTTAAGCGCATCTGAGTGTCAGCACTTCAGGTGATGCAGGCGTGTGTCCGTTGGGGGCAAGGCGAGTATGCATGCCAGCCACTGCACAGCCGCGGCTGGCCTGGAACAGGACCATGCAGGGTGATGAAGTGGTTGATGAGCTGGTCCAGCGACTCATTGCAAAGGCTGAGCCTCTTGGCTCTATCTTTCGAGCGAACAGCCGTGGAGTTGCTCCTGCTCTTGGTGGATGGTGAGCTCTCCCCCTATTTCGAATTGTCCACTGGGAACTCTGGTCGCATGCAATCGTGGTGATAAATCGATGCTGTAACCCCTCAAACGATTGGACCTCAAGTATTCAGGCTACGATCAGACGTAGATTTTTGTTGCCTTTGACTTCGTATCAAGATGCTAGAGACAATGTCCTATATCCTCGTTCGAGTCCTTGGCCCCTTTCTCAAGCAGTAATTGGATGATCCCCGCATTTCTTCTTCAAAGAGCTTGAAGCGAGATACTCTACTCTTCGTCTTGCGCTTGGCAATCAGTAGTCTATTCTGTGGTTGGAACGAAACGGCACAACGGCACAATGGCACGGAGGTCGTAGAGTAACCGGCGGGCTCCCCTCCTCGGGCTCGGAATCGGCGCAGTGGGGCTTCCCCGGGACCCGACCGGAACATTGAATAGGTGCGGGCGATATATCGGCCAAGGTCTCGGCACCTGCACAAGCGTCCGCGGTCTAGTCTTCCCCGAGAAAGTTAGCCTCCAAAGCCGTGGTCTCAAATATCTGCCATTCTCAAAACTTGACTTCTCTTTTCAGGCTTGATGAGTCGACGACCTAGACGAGGCTGAACGTGGAAGCTGTCTAACCATGACTGCTTGCATGTGACCGGCATGAGCAGTTCAATTTGAATAAAATGGGGCCTGTCCTTGAATGTTTCGTGAAAGATACGTATTAAAGGCTACTTGGTGTATCAAGCCCGCTCAAATCCATGGCCGCATCTCAAACAGCCCAGTAAACTTCAACTTTCACGGTTTCCCCACAGTTCACCCATCCTGGAAATCTCGCCTTGCCCCAGACGGTAATGACATCGCCCAAGACTAAGCTTCGAACAAATGATCCGTCACCAGTTGCCCGGCCACGTCCCTGATCGTCGAGCACCTTGCCGGCATCTGATTCCGCCTTGATATCATCCAAATATGACCAGGTGACGACGTGTTCTTGGATATCACCTACTGCCCTCAAGTTCCGGTGGATTTCCCATTCAGGCTGGGCCTTAAGAGGATGTACATATTTATATTTCGCTTCGGCTTCACTTTCATTCTCATCCTCGTCCTCCTTGTTTTCGTCGTCGTCACTCTTTGGCAATCGCTCAATTTTTGGATAAACCGGTCGGAGTGCGCGCACAGGGAGAGCGGAACTTTCTGATTCGGGCGTTTTCTGCGCATCGCCTAGCAGGTAAATGTTGGCAACGGTTCGGCAGTTATCAAGTCAACAGATTGGGGGCCTTACTTGTTTGTGCCGCGTCAAACTTTTCTAATCCAGCTTCAAACCAAGTCCATGCATCCTTGTACGTTCCCTTCCCTTCGTTGCCACTCACCCACCCTTGATCATGACTTTTAATCTTAAAGACAACTTTGCGCGCTGGGTTGAGCAGTCGAGGGGTTGGGTATTTTGCTAATTTTGCAAAATATTTGGCATCGCAATCCGTCCCTCTGGGAAGGGGCGTCGCCTCTTGAGTATCATAGGCCAGCTTTTCGGACAGGGTGTACTGGCCTTCGATTCCTGTCAACCCTACTGGGTACGAACGAAGCTGAACAAGATGGGGTCAATTAGTTCTGCAATGTAGCCATGATATAACGCAACGGAGTGGCTAACCAGAAATTCATCTTCAACCTTAGTAGAACCACAAATCCGCAGAAGTTCTTGATGTTCTGCCCGGTAGTCGATTGCGTTGGTAGAACGAGCCCAGTATTCAGCATAGTCGAAAATGGCATCGACCAAGTCAGGTGGCAATTTCACAGAGCGGATGAGCATGGTACGCACGACAAAAATGTCAATGGGGCTCGGATGGTAGGTTCCATCGTCTGCATCGGTCTTGTCGGACGGTCGAATTACTGGTGGAAAGGGCATTTGACGAAATCGGGTGAGCAAAAGATTTGGTACAATGTGCGCCATGATGAAGCTCAGTAAGACTAGAGACACTAATAAGTCGAGCATACGTACCCGCAAGGGTTGCGAAAAGTGAAGGATGAGTTACGTGTGTTTAGTGTTGAATGAGGATGACGATGATTCTCGCAGGCAGCAAGCTGGTTTCGAAACGTCAAGTGGACCGACTGAGCTAGCATGTGCTGACGTCACGTCGATACATGTAAGGAGGCTTTGTGTTAAACTGCTCTGGGCCTAAGCTTTCTCCAATCACTGGAAGGTAGACCTTCCCGCTCTGCGCACCAGATACTAGCGTAAACTTACTATAAAGGGTAAGTATAATATTTATAGTATAAATTACTTAGCTACTTATAATTTTTATTAAGTATATATATACTTTAATATTTAAAAATTTAAGTAATTTATAATAAA